AACAAGAGCCAACATCCTGTAATGTACATGCAGTACTACAAACCAGACCCAAAAAGACGGGCACTCCTCGTCGGCACGAGCGCGGTAGCATTACAACTACCAATGCTGTACAGTAATAGCCTCCGTTTGTAAGTAGGAGTCTGATGTATGTAACTCAGGGACTGCCTGTACATTCATTTTTGTACAGGTGTAATTGATTCGCAAAGGAGACCCATTATTATTGTAACAATGCTGGGAATATTCCAGGTGTTTAAAATGAAATCGTGAGCCTTTCCCGCATGAAACTAAGGCACACTGAAGAGTAGAACAGCATTAGAAAAAATAGTCCTCTAAGCAAAGATGAATCACGTTATACATACTTTTATCAGGCTGAATGGAGGACATAGTTGTCCCTGAGAAAATACCTCCATGCAAGACTTTTAATGGCGGTACCTCCCACTTTAATATCAGCTTAGCAGCATTATGTCTCTGAACTGTGTCTCTATACAGGATCATTTTAACCAAGCATTGCAGCATGTGGTTTAGTTACTGCTTTGCAGTGCTACCCAAGGTTTGAGCAACACCTCTGATTTTACTGGACCTTTATGCACATAGCTATTAAAAAGCCCCTAGGCCCGGGGGAGAGATCAAAAGTGCATATATGATCAGACAGCCTTCAGGCACCAGGACTGGGTGTCATGCTCATAAATATGACAGTAAAGCTTACCACAATGCTTGCTTTTATGTAAATGGAGACTAGAGGGGCGAGATGACAAGAGTCTCATGGTTTGAACATATATGTAAAGATTGTCATGCAGTTGAAAATCTTATATGGGTTTAAGGCAAACTTTAAGCAGCTGTCGGCATTTACCAGTACAGCTAGACCAACTTAAACTACAGCCGAGGTATCCATACAGCCCGCTGCTTACCTTTTACTGGCACTTATCCAGAGTGTTGGTGGCAATTCCTCCCAATGACAAGGCACTATTGTCCCCACTGTCACCAATGATGGGGCACAATTCCTCACATTGACTCCACAGTATGGCTCTATTCTTCCTCCCACTGATACCCACAATGGGGCACTATTCTGCCTCTCACTGATACCCACAATAGGGAACTATTCTTCCTTTCACTGATACCCACAACTGGGCACTATTCTTCCTCTCAATGATACCCACAATGGGGCGCTATTCTTCCTCTCACTGATACCCACAATGAGGCACTATTCTTCCACCCACTGATACCCACAATGGGGCACTATTCTTCCGTATACTGATCCCCTCAATGGGGCACTATTCTTCCTCATACTGATTCCCTCAATGGGGCACTATTCTTCCTCTCACTGATACCCACAATGGGGCATTAGTCTTCCTCTCACTGATACTCACAATGGGGCACTATTCTTCCTCATACTGATCCCCTCAATGGGGCACTATTCTTCCTCATACTGATCCCCTCAATGGGGCACTATTCTTCCTCATACTGATCCCCTCAATGGGGCACTATTCTTCCTCTCACTGATACCCACAATGGGGCATTAGTCTTCCTCTCACTGATACGCACAATGGGGCACTATTCTTCCTCATACTGATCCCCTCAATGGGGCACTATTCTTCCTCATACTGATCCCCACAATGGGGCACTATTCTTCCTCTTACTGATCCCCTCAATGGGTCACTATTCTTCCTCTCACTGATACCCACAATGGGGCACTATATTTCCTCCCACTGATACCCACAATGGGGTACTATTCTACCTCTCACTGGTACCCATAATGAGGCACTATTCTTCCACCCACTGATACCCACAATGGGGCACTATTTCCCCTCCCACTGATACCCACAATTGGGCACTATACTTCCTCTTACTGATCCCCTCAATGGGGCACCATTCTTCCTCTCACTGATACCCACAATGGGGCACTATTCTTCCTGCCACTGATACCCACAATGGGGCACTATTCTTCCTCTCACTGATACCCACAATGGAGCACTATGTTTCCGCTCACTGATACACACAATGAGACACTATTCTTCCTCCCACTGATACCTACAATGGGGCACTATATTTCCTCCCACTGATACCCACAATGGGGCACTATTCTTCCTCTCACTGATCCCCACAATGGGGCACTATTCTTCCTGCCACTGATACCCACAATGGGGCGCTATTCTTCCTCTCACTGATACCCACAATGGGGCACTATTCTTCCTCTCACTGATCCCCACAATGGGGCACTATTCTTCCTGCCACTGATACCCACAATGGGGCGCTATTCTTCCTCTCACTGATACCCACAATGGGGCACTATTCTTCCTCTCACTGATCCCCACAATGGGGCACTATTCTTCCTGCCACTGATACCCACAATGGGGCACTATTCTTCCTCCCACTGATACCCACAATGGGGCACTATTTCACCTCCAACTGATACCCACAATTGGGCACTATACTTCCTCTTACTGATCCCCTCAATGGGGCACCATTCTTCCTGCCACTGATACCCACAATGGGGCGCTATTCTTCCTCTCACTGATACCCTCAATGGGGCACTATTCTTCCTCATACTGATCCCCACAATGGGGCACTATTCTTCCTCTCACTGATACCCACAATGGGTCACTATTCTTCCTCTCACTGATACCCACAATGGGGCACTATATTTCCTCCCACTGATACCCACAATGGGGCACTATTCTTCCTCTCACTGGTACCCACAATGAGGCACTATTTCACCTCCCACTGATACCCACAATTGGGCACTATACTTCCTCTTACTGATCCCCTCAATGGGGCACTATTCTTCCTCTCACTGATACCCACAATGAGGCACTATTCTTCCTCTCACTTATACCCACAGTATGGCACTATTCTTCTCCCCACTGATACCCACAATTGGGCACTATACTTCCTCATACTGATCCCCTCAATGGGGCACTATTCTTCCTCTCACTGATACCCACAATGGGGCATTATTCTTCCTCTCACTGATACGCACAATGGGGAACTATTCTTCCTCTCACTGATACCCACAATGAGGCACTATTCTTCCTCTCACTTATACCCACAGTATGGCACTATTCTTCTCCCCACTGATACCCACAATGGGGAACTATTCTTCCTTTCACTTATACCGACAGTATGGCACTATTCTTCTCCCCACTGATACCCACAATGGGGAACTATTCTTCCCCCCACTGATACCCACAACTGGGCACTATTCTTTCTTCCAAATGACACCCACAATGGGGGTAGTAATTCTTCCTTCCACTTATACCCACAATGGGGGTAGTAATTCTTCCTTCCACTTATACTCACAATGGGGGTAGAAATGTTTCCTCCCACAATGGGGGTTGTAAATTTTCCTCCGACTTATACCCACAATAGGGGTAGTAAATAATTCTTCCTCCCACAGTAGGGATAGTAATTCTTCCTCCCACAATGGGGGTAGTAACGCTTCCTCCCACTAATACCCACAATGGGGGTAGTAATTCTTCCTCCCATTTATACTCACAATGGGGCTAGTAATTCTTCCTCCCACAATTGGGGTTAGTAATTCTTCCTCCCACTTGTACTAACAATAAAGATAGTAATTCTTCCTCCCACAATGGGGGTAGTAATTACTTCTCCCACAATTGGGGTAGTAATTCTTCCTCCCACTTATACTCACAATGGAGGTAGTAATTCTTCCTCCCACAATGGGGGTAGTAACTCTTCCTCCCACTTATACTCACAATGGGGGTAGTAATTCTTCCTCCCACAATGGGGGTAGTAATTCTTCCTCCCACTTATACTCACAATGGGGGTAGTAATTCTTCCTCCCACAATGAAGGTAGTAATTCTTCCTCCCACAATGAGGGTAGTAATTCTTCCTCCCACTTATACTCACAATGAGGGTAGTAATTCTTCCTCCCACTTATACTCACAATGGGGGTAGTAATGCTTCCTCCCACAATGAAGGTAGTAATTCTTCCTCCCACAATGGGGGTAGTAATTCTTCCTCCCACAAAGGCGGTAGTAACTCTTCCTCCCACTTATACTCACAATGGGGGTAGTAATTCTTCCTTCCACAATGGGGGTAGTAATTCTTCCTCCCACTTATACTCACAATGGGGGTAGTAATGTTTCCTTCCACAATGGGGGAAGTAATTCTTCCTCCCACTTATACCCACAATGAGGGTAGTAATTTCTCCTCCCACTGTAGCTTGGCCATTTTTCCATCTCGCTGACCCCGGGTCATTCTTTCCCCCCACTGATCACAGTCTGGACTCCCTGACAATCTGAAGGACAGTGAACGGGCCCTCTGTGTAATCATTCGAGTTCCCCTGAACCAATACCTGCTTGCTATGCATTTCTACATCAGGTTATCTCAGCAGCATACTGAAAGCAAATATTAATTGCAAACTCCATGTCCTTCACATGCCCTACTCTATGGAACAACACACGCAGCCTAGCCTTTCACTCCTATTATATAAAATGTGGCACGGGGTTTATCATATTGCCATCATGACAGAAGTTTGTGGGAAGTATTCTAACTTTGCTGTGCGAGGAATGAACAAAACGTATTTACATTTCCATCACAGACTTTCAATGTAAGTTTCACTACAAACAGGACCTCGCCCTCCTCCCTTCCAGGCGCCCCTCGCTTTGTTCACCTTCCAGCATCCCACCCTGCTCCATTCCCTCATCCCTCCACCCGGGGCCAGCCAATCAGGAAGGGGGCTGTGTAGAAAAACAAAGGCCCTCATTGGACGACACTCTGGCCGGAGTCCTCGCCCTGCCGCGGGTTTGTGAATGGGGGATCTCGCGGACGGATTGGAATAGTGGGCAGGGAGAAGGAGCTTTGGATAAGACCCCGCCCCTTCCCTTGTTCCAAAGTTACGCCCTCTTATAAGGAGAGCGGCGCTGGCTCGTGGAGTGGATAAAGTGAAAGTCTGGAGAGCTGAGTTGTGATCGTTGAGCAGTGACTGCGGGAAACGCTCATATATCTGCGGGAGTGTACGGCGCCTGTCTCTGGACTCTGCTAACGCCGCTTCTCCGGAGTACTACGAAGTGTCCCCGGCCACCCCGGATTGCTCCGTACAAGCCAGCGCCTCCTGGTGCCCGGAGCAGCGCAGTGCACCCCACTTGTTGCTGCCGTACACTGCCGAGGATGGGGAAAGTGGGGTGCTTGTGGCGTGTGATGAGCCTGCTGCTGGGGGTGTCTCTCTTCGGCTCGGCCGCTCAGCCCTATCACGGGGAGAAGGGGATCTCTGTACCGGACCACGGCTTCTGCCAGCCCATCTCCATCCCGTTGTGCACGGACATCGCCTACAACCAAACCATCATGCCGAACCTGCTCGGCCACACCAACCAGGAGGACGCCGGGCTGGAGGTGCACCAGTTCTACCCGCTGGTCAAGGTGCAGTGCTCGGCCGAGCTGCGCTTCTTCCTGTGCTCCATGTACGCTCCGGTGTGCACGGTGTTGGAGCAGGCCATCCCTCCGTGCCGATCGCTGTGTGAGCGGGCCAGGCAAGGCTGCGAGGCCCTGATGAACAAGTTCGGCTTCCAATGGCCGGAGCGGCTGCGCTGCGAGAACTTCCCCGTGCACGGAGCCGGTGAGATCTGTGTGGGCCAGAACACGTCTGACAGCCCGTCCGGACCTACAGCCAACCCGACCCCTTACCTGCCTGATCTCATCACCTTCCACCCGCACTCTGCCCGGGACTTCACCTGCCCCCGCCAGCTCAAGGTGCCCCCTTACCTGGGCTATCGCTTCCTGGGGGAGAAGGACTGTGGGGCCCCCTGCGAGCCCAGCAAAGCTAATGGCTTGATGTACTTCAAGGAGGAGGAGGTCCGCTTTGCCCGGCTCTGGGTGGGCATCTGGGCCATCCTGTGTGCCATCTCTACCCTCTTCACTGTGCTTACTTACCTGGTGGACATGAGGCGCTTCAGCTACCCTGAGCGGCCCATCATCTTCCTGTCCGGCTGTTATTTCATGGTGGCTGTGGCTTACGCCGCCGGATTCTTTCTTGAGGAGCGAGCCGTGTGCCTGGACCGATTTTCGGATGACACTTACCGCACGGTGGCCCAGGGCACCAAGAAAGAGGGCTGCACCATCCTCTTCATGATTCTCTACTTCTTTGGCATGGCCAGCTCAATCTGGTGGGTCATCCTGTCCCTCACCTGGTTCCTTGCCGCTGGCATGAAATGGGGCCACGAAGCCATCGAGGCCCACTCCCAGTACTTCCACTTGGCTGCCTGGGCAGTGCCTGCCGTGAAGACCATCACCATCCTGGCCATGGGCAGAGTGGACGGCGACATATTGAGCGGAGTGTGCTATGTGGGCATCAACAGCGTGGATTCCCTGCGGGGCTTTGTGCTTGCACCCCTCTTCGTTTACCTGTTCATTGGCACCTCATTCCTTCTGGCCGGCTTTGTTTCTCTCTTCCGCATCCGCACCATTATGAAACACGACGGCAGCAAGACCGAAAAGCTGGAGAAACTGATGGTACGCATCGGGGTGTTCAGTGTTCTTTACACGGTGCCAGCCACCATCGTGCTAGCCTGCTATTTCTATGAGCAGGCCTTCAGGGACACGTGGGAGAAGACCTGGCTCATGCAGACCTGCAAAAGCTTTGCCATCCCTTGCCCAAACCATCACTTTGCTCCCATGAGCCCAGACTTTACAGTTTTTATGATCAAGTATCTGATGACTATGATTGTGGGCATCACCTCCAGCTTCTGGATCTGGTCAGGCAAAACCCTTCAGTCTTGGCGTAAGTTCTACCACAGACTAAGCAACAACAGCAAAGGGGAGACTGCTGTATGAGACTGAAAACTTTTCTGCTCCCTGAAATGGAGTAAAAGGGACTGACTTAGTTCAATGGTACTGTGGATCATTGCTTGACAAACTTCTTGACTCAATGCACAGCCTCCCACAGACACAATTCCGCAGGGATAGTTCCAGGCTTTTGATCGAAGCGTTGCCATTGATTTTATGTGGACAGTGTGCTATTTGTTGGAGGTTCCCATGCAGCCTTTTTGTTTTTTTAACCTTGTTCACGAGTTGCATTGTTACTTGCAATCTTGCTCTTTACCCAGTATTTCAGAACATGTATTTTTCTAAGGAAATGTGAGATTTTGGGTTTGCTTCTCATTCTCAGTCTTGTGCCTAGGCAGCTTGTGGTTCTCTAGCTTTGTGGGACTACAAGTCCAAGCATACCATGCCAGGCTTGCAGTTCCACAGCTGGTGAGCCACTGTGTGCCGAAACTGAAGGCGTTTTTTTAATTCTGTTTGTGGATAATCAGTTTCTGATGGCCAAAGGGGTCAACTTAATACAGCGAGGTCGTATGCAGCATGGAGTGGAGTAACAGGGCTGACATTCTTGCATTTGTCATTTACTCAGCTGCCAGGCATAGGATTTTTGTGTTTACCCAACAGATCATGTCTTGTGGTTTGGTAAATAAGTTTGGGTCCCTTAAGCACCCTGCAGGCAGTTAATTATAGTTTTTCAGAGTGGGCTTCACCTACCCAGCAGCTGGGCAAATAATGCCTTTTGGTGTTGCTGTCTCCCACTGCTATGTCAACAACCTATTCACACAGTTAAAAATTTCCATGCAGACACTGAGGTGACATTATTGTACATTGTTGTCTTCTTTTTTTTTTTTTTAAATTACATTTTGCTGATGCCAAATTGCATTATTGCAGCCTTATTGGTAGTACAACTTCATATGCATTTTCCTTTTTTATTTTTGAAGTCTTATCTCTCAATGTACTCATAATGTAAGATGTGCAGTGTTCTGGCTGGGTAGGTGAGAAATGGTTAAAAGGGTTTAGACTTGGGGCCAGCAACACATTCCTTTTGCAAGGCTTTGCTATCTTCTCCAGCTGCAAATGGGGTTAAAGCATTTCCTCTGTAGACAAATGCCAAATCGCCTGTGAGATTCTTTTTAAATCTGCCACCCATATTTGTGTGGGTAACCGCCTTAATATTATGATTTTACTGGAATGTTAAAACAGGCTCTATACAGCTTATTTTAATTATTTTAAAATACATTATGCCTTTTTAATGTTCCTAGAGCACTAGCACAGCAATGGTTTTTGTTTTTTTGTTTTCCTTTATGGTTCAACAAAAGTACATGTAAAAGGTGATATATACAAGTCCTCTATTATTATGTTTACATTTCATTTGATCTGCTCTAATAGTATTACATTTAATATTTGCTGCTGCCTCTTGCGGAATACATTTCTGTGGTGGCAATATCACTTTAAAATTGGTTATTAAATTACTGGTTAGACATTTTTATTTCCTATGTGAAATGTTTCAGCTCAGTTCCACAATGTTCAGTACATATGATTTCTTAAATCCCACCTTACATTTTATTTTGATTTTCCCTTTTACCGATTCATTTTTTTTTTCTAAATATCCAGGGAGTTGCAACAGTTGCTGCATAATGTGTATTTTGAAAGTCAAATACTATGTATGACATTAAGAGACTATTTTATAACTTTTTTTTTTATATGCATGTCAACTATTTGCAAACGAAGACATTGTTATATATTTTTTTTTTGTAAATAGCTGTAACTTTTTGTATGAAGATATATATGTATTTATATGTTTCTAAGCCTCACTTTATCTTGTGTACAGTTCACTAAATAAAGCCTACTTTTTAGGTACTTTTCTGTGTTGCGTTAATTTAAATCAGAAATTTGGTTAAGGGGGGGGATATGATTTATAAAACAAAGTTGCCATTTTTTTGGGGGGGTTAGCGTGGCTAGGATCTTTTTGTTATGTCTTTGGGGGGGAAGTGATATGTAACGAGCAGGGGTTGGTTTTTTTTTTTGTTTTTTTTTCTACTGGATCAACACTTTTGTTTTGTGCTGTGATATTCCAGAGATTATATTTTTTTTAGGTGCTCAGTAAGTTCTACATATGTGGAGTTTTAACTTTAAAGTATTTTATTAATTTTCCAAAGTACAATAAAATGGCACATGATGCACAATCAGTATAGCATACAATTGCATTACAGTTTCTTCCACATTAGCATAATCAAGTAGTAGGAGGGGATCACTAGAGGCCATACACACAATATATAATAGTTCTGTACAACAGAACATATCTATCCACCTATTCTTGCCAATTTATCCCCCATTACTAAAATAAAAAATCAGAACAGTCTGAGAGGAATATCTGGCCTAGGGATCTGTCTATGTCTGAAGAAGACATTTGTTATTAGAGCTGCAACAGTTAATCGATTAAAATCGACGATTGAAAACGTTGGCAACGTTTTCGATCGTCTATTCGTCGGCTATCGATTGCTTAACCTGTTCGGGGCTCCGCACGCGGCCTGAGTCGCACGTCGCGCGTCACACACTGCTCCCGACGTGTCCACCGCACAGGCCGCCGCATAAGCCACGCCCACCGAACAGGCCGAAGCCGCGCACGCTGCTGGTCTCCTCCTAGCCGTGAGCTCTCTCACCCGCCGCGAGCTGCCTCACCCGCCGATAAAGTAATGAATTTATCCAAAGCTTTAGACAATATGTAGAGTTTTAGCTGCTATATAGACCTACATTAACCTTTTTAAATAAAAGGTAAAAACCAAAATGTTCACTAGGTCTGTTTTTTTTGAAGCTGGCATATCAATATAACAAGTTAAATAATTATTGGCTAGAAGTAGACTTCTTTTTTAAATATTACATTTAGTCTAGCCTGTGAATATTACATTGGTTAGTGTGTGATGCTCACAACCCATGTTACAGCCTGCAGGTGTCACTGTTCCTATAGTTCATTTGTTGGCTGTAGAACCTTCCCATTTACCAAAATATTACATATGAGGTTGATTTTACTAAAGGCATAAGTCATTATTTTTGTGCAATCAACAAATGTCCTATAGCATAAATATTAGACATGTGCACTGGCATATATTTGAGGGGGAAAAAATGTTTTTCTCCTTCTCTAATGTCACTTTGCTGAAACGAATAAGAAACTAACGAACTACCGCTAATGAATTTAGGAAACTGAAATTCGGATTCATTTGCATTCGTTATATCTGTAATTCGGATACATCCGAATGTCTGAATTTTGTTTCGCAACGAAACGAATTACACATGGCTAATAAATATACAGCACATGACTATTTGAGCCAAGCCCTACTTGGTCCATTTACATAAAATTTTAATTCATTTGATTACAGTTTGCAAGACGACAACTGAACCTTTTTGCTAAAGGTGTAAAGGCTGTTCACTTGGCAAGTGAATTATAGTAAATTAGATGAACTTGTGCTCATGGAATATCCTAGCGTGAGCATTGAAAAAAAAAATTGATAACACAAGATTAATTAAAATAAACGGTGTCCTCTTATTTATGTAGCTCAGGGAACATTCTCTTTGCTAAATGAAGTCTCTCTTCCTTTAGTAAATCGGCTTTATTACCTTTTAACTTGGAAACCGGGAGAAGGAAACCTGTACTAAGACAATGTGGAGGTAGCCATTGCTAACATCATGACGTTGCTGGTTGTCGGCCGGCCAGCTTAGGCTTTCTGCGTGGTTCAGCCGAGCCGAGGCATATGCGTTCGGCTCGACTAAGTTCGGGAGCTGTATGGGCTATAGTGTATAGTAGAACCGAAGGAGTCCTGGGGCCGAAGCTAGCCGCCGAAGGATCGGCCGAAGCTAGCTGCCGAAGGATCGGCCGAAGCTACGGCTAGATTCTTCGGCTGCTTCGTGAATAGACCCCTAAGTTTAGGTGTGATTTAGGGATTCCGGTGTCAGTAATTTGCATTTTCCTGCAGCAGCAATCCTTAATCTGGTGTTTATAAGTGGCAGCTGTCACTCATTCAAGTGAATGATCAGGTGACAGCCACTTCGTATAAACATCTGCACACCGCATGTAATGGTATGATTACATGTAGTTAGGAATCAAACAATATCCCTGGATGCATCGGTCAATGCGTCCAAGGACAGAAACACATCCCTAGTTGCATTTAATCATATATAATAATATATGCTGCAGCACGGGCACTGGGCCACATGACAATGTGTTGTTCAGTGGCTTTTTTGTTTTTTTTGGGTTGGGTGCATACAAAATTTTGCCATGGGGCCCTGTGATTTCTAGCTGATCTCTATCCTTGTGTAATTTAGTCATAATCGCACTGTGGGATTCTCCATAGGAGTAGTAGAGAACCTAAGCAGAAAGTAGTATGACCACTCTATGGTGTGAGCTCCTTTTTATTTTTTTTTCTTCAGATTTCACAAAAGTTAAAATAATGTGAGATGTGGCTGAACTCACTGATATTCACTCAAAACACATACATACCGCTCGTTTAACCTCCCTGGCAGTATTCCGGAGTGTAGCTCCGGGTTACTTTTCCATACCATAAGCGATAACCCGGAGCTACACTCGGGAAAGCCGCATTGCATTTACTTACCTTGTCCCTCGAGCCTTGCTGTGTTCTGCGGCCGATGCCGGCTTCCGGGTTCCGTCGCTTGCGAGCATACGTGTCGCAGGGGGGGCGGAACCGGCGGGATATTAAAAGAAAAAACAACAAAGATGAAAAAAAATTTGAATCATACCGCCAGGGAGGTTTAAAAAAATATATATTTTTTCCCCCTCAGATGTCACTCAATGGGGTTGATCTGTGAGGGCTTGTTCACACGACGTCAGAAATCTTTCCGGACCAGATCCGTGCGCTCATGCACCCAAAATGCATCCCAATGTATCCCTATGTGTTTTATGGGCTACAGTTCTCACGAGCGCAGTCTGTTCCGGTCCAGACATAAAAAATACTGCATGTCACATTTTGTCTGGTCTGGAAATGCATGAAAACGCACTGCAGCTAACATACTGACTCCAACTCCACTCCAACCAAAAAAAATGTATTATTTTTTTAACTGGAACATGTCTAAAATGTGTCAACGCACTGCATGCATAGCACCGCATCTCCAGATCTGGACCAGAAAATCATGTGAACAAGCCCTTCGAGTATTACCTGCTCACATTGCAAAGTATACAGTCATTTAGCTTAGTGAATGAGGTCAAGCCAATTGAAAATTCACTTTGCAAAGCATACCCAATCATGTGCAAGGATGATTAAAAACAGGTTTCTGTGCTTGCACGTGACTGAAGTCAGCAATTACAGCTTCACC